CTCGTAGGAACCAGTGCTTCAGAGCTTGTGGGGTTCTTTGTGTTTTGCATAGCGCCTGTTTGCGGTCTCGGTTTCTGGGTTGTAGCTTACAGGTTTAGGTTTTGGCGCCTTCGAGTTCACAGGTATTAGGGAATTCTGGGCTAGAAGCAGGAGCCGCATCGATCACCACCAAGACCTACTACAAACAACAGCACTAGAAGCAACGACTGCTGTTGCATCATCTTCACCATCGTCATCACCGCCGCCATGATTTTATGAGCTATCGTGACAGCAGCAGCGGGTGTAGCACGCAGCAGCAAGCCAGGAAACCCGTAAGTACTGCCAGCGGTGGAAGCAACTGTATGAGAAAAGCAATCGCAACAGCAGGCTGGCAAGTTGACAGGTATCGCATATGCATGACTACCCATAGGCCCCATAGTAGTTCCTTTTGGGGGATACCTTATAGGATTCTATATATTAAGCCCAAAAAGGAGCTACTTTAGGGCCTATGGGTAGACAGCATGGAAACAAAAAAAGGCTGGTTCGATGAGATAGCGCTCGCGACCAAGGCTCTTGAAAGCCGAAGCAACCTGGAGGCGTCGAACGCTTCTACCCAGAGGCCCCAAAGTAGTTCCTTTTTTGGGGATCATACATAGAATCCTATAAGGTAACCCCAAAAAGGAACTACTATGGGGCCTATGGGTAGTGGCCAAGGGCACGAGCACCCTGAACCCCAAAGTGTCTACATCACCAAATGCGGAACTCAAGTCCGAAGTCCACCCTAAACCCCTAAACCCCTAAACCGTCTAAGCCGAAGCACCCCGGTCTCCTGATGACCTCAAACTGAAACTATATAAACACTCCCGAGAAGTCTTCAAGCCCCCAAACCCTGAACCCTAAACCCTAAAAACCCCTAAGCTGGCTCTTCAGGGTTTAGGGTTTAGGGTGTTTTAGGGTTTAGGGTTTTTTAGGGCTTTTTAGGGTTTAGGGTTTAGGGGTTTTTAGGGTTTTGTTTAGGGTTTCGGGGTTTTGGGGGTTTTTGGGGGGCTTTAGGGTTTTTTAGGGTTTAGGGTTTTTTGGGGGGGGTTTAGGGTTTAGGGTGTCTTGCTCTTGCGGGAGTCTCGCCGGGCCAGCCTCAGCAAGGCGCAGGTCTTTGGAAAGACCCGGTCACCTGGAAGGTGTATATATGTATAATATATATATATATAGATATATCTTCAGAAGGGCTTAGTCAAGGTCTCAAGTGTTAGTTTGAAGGGCTGCTTGGATCTTAGTTTCTTATTCGGGGCTTTGTGGGCTTAGGGATGTGGGGTTCGATTGGGCATTCAGCTTTAAATTTCAGGGTTTCATGGTTTTGCGTGGGTGCAGGGCCGTAGGATCCATGGGCGCAGATCCATCCGGTCTAGCAAAATGCTAAGCCGGGTTTAGGGGTTAGGGCTTCGGGGTTTAGGAGTTTAGGGTTGGGGTTTTGGGATAGTACCCCTTCAAGATGTAGGGTTGCGTAAAGGGCTTGATCGGGCCAATGCGGGTCTTAGAGGGTTTTGTTTATAAAAGTATGGGAAGAGTCAGCGATGAAATGATCCGCTAGTCTCTAGAAGCGTAACGAATGCTGACATACCCCAAACCCATCTTCTGAATCATCAAGAAGGCTTGACAATAATCTGGTCAACTTCTGAGAAGGGAGGCAAGTTCGCAGTTGAATTTGCAAGGTGACTAAAAACTGGCTCTAGGCTCTCTCTCACTTGCGGCTCTGAGCTTGATGCTTGTGGTATTTCCGGGATTCATAAAGGTTTTGGGTGTTCTAAGTTTCTCATAGACGGCTTTATGGCTTGGGAAGTCTCTGAAAAAAGGGCTTTATAGGGATTCTAAGCATGAGATCTGCGCGTCGAATTCTGGATGAGAAGCCTTGCAAACTACAGAGCTTAAGCATCCTACTGGGTTTAGGGTTCAGGCATTAGGGTGTAGGGTTCCTACTGGCCAGGGTACAGGCTAATCTCAAGCCATCAGCATTCCTCTAATAGTCGCACTTCGGCAACTCCCTTCTGTCAAAGGCATCCCGAGCTGGAAAAACTCGGAATCCAGAAAAACACCCTAACCCTAAATCCTAAAAACCTAAAACTTCATAGAAATCCCGCAGGTCGCAGGGAGTGATCTCCGGCAAAGAGGCTCTCAGATAAAGCAGGGGTCCAAACAACTACAAACCCTGTTTTGGTGGCTCCTTGCTATGATTGTCATAGTATAATAGATCCCAAAACCCTAGTCTAATTATAATATAAGCCCTATATTAATCTGGTATGCGCTATTTCAATCGCAATCATAACTACAAACCTGCACTCCCGATCCTGATGGCACCGGGGTTCCCCGCATTCTGGCGTGAACTCACGCTTGTGGTACAGCAGTACTCGATTCCACTCGCCTTTCTCGTAGAGGAAGCGGTAGGCGTCCTTGTCGCAAATGCTAGGAGCTTGAGGGAGCGATCATGACTTTGAAGGCCCTGACAAAACCGCGAACCCCCAGAGGCTCCATATATATAGTACGTACCATTATGGAATTAGGTCCCTAAAGCCTTAATAAGGATGGTCTTGTGGGATCTAACTCCATAATGGTACTATATTATTTCGAGCCTCTGGGACCTATAGGACTTTATCACAGCAATTCCAGCGCCTCAGACTCTGGAGGAGGTCGTACTTGAGCCGGCTAGGAGAGTGTGAGCGAGAACCGGGCTCCCCGATACGCTGCATGAACCTTCTTGCACCCCGGCTGAGCCACGAATAATAAAGGGGCCTTAATAATTAGAATACGGTTTTGGGGCCCATTATACTATAATTGCAATAAGGAACCCCCCAAAATAGTTTAGGTAATTATTTAGGCCTCTGTATTCACCCAAAGCCCGAACTCCCCCACATTGACGGTATGAGGAGACTGCCGCCGATCATGCACTTGCCGCAGTTGATGACGGCACATGCATATGAAAGCAAAACGATGATATGCTAGCCATGGCTTTGATCAAAACCATTATCAGGATCCTCGTCATCATCCTCAACACCAACAATAACAACCTCATCAACCCCATCGCCCGCCATCATCGTCAGCAGCATCACGCTTCTCTCCAGAATCTGCACTACCACCCATGCCATGTCGATGGCAGGGCCATGGATATGCAAGTGTTGTTAAACAGAACGAAGAATGGTTACAACTATACTGGCAAACCAAGCTGAAGAGCAAGCGAAAAAGAGGACCAACCTACATAATCCCTAGTAGTATACTAATCGTCATAGTAACAATAGCAGCAGTAACAGTAAGAGTAATCCTAAACCCTAAACCCTAAACCCTACAAACCCTAAACCCTATAAACCCTAAACCCTATAAACTCTAAACCCTAATAAACCCTAAACCCTATAAACCCTAAACCCTAAACCCTAAAGGACCCGTCCAAGGAGCAAGCCCAGGGCCCAACACCCTCCGAGGAGCTCTGCGTGGCCGCCACGCAAGCGGACGATCAACTGGCGTGGTACTC